CAGACTCGCCGTCCAGAAAGAGGTGGGGACTGGCCTGGTTCACACACACACACACACGAACTTTTATGCGCGGTCTTGGTACATTGTTTTCTATACCTGCACTTGCTATAGGTACACTGGTGAAATTATCTGCATTGTCCATATACTTGTACATGTTGAACTAAATAGCTGCAGGGGAAGAAAGGAAAAAGACGGGGAGCGAACGAAAGGAGGAAATGAGATGGGTAGAACATAGAAGAAATGAGAAGGGAAAGAAAATGTGAGAGAGAGAGAGAGAGAGAGAGAGAGAGAGTACGTGGAGGGAACAAGAGGGGAGAAAGATTATTTTTTTTTGCGGATCGTATCTTCACAAGACCCGAATTAATTTGAGATAACAGCATCCTCGTCCCCTTCATCCCCTAACAAGAGACCCAGTTCAGCTACACCCTCCTCTACTACCACCTTCCCTCCCTCTCTTCCTGCTTTCCTTCCTTCCTTCATACTTCCTTCCTTCCTCCATTGTTTACTTCCTTCCTTCACTGTATTATTTCTCACATTTTAATCTTTTCTTCTGTCTCTCTTAAACACATTTTCATTATTATCCCTTTTCTCTTCCTTATTCTTCTCCTACTCTTTATTTCTCCGTTTTATTACTTTCATATTCTTCATCATTCTTCTCTTCCAACTTGTCTACCCTTTATGCTTTCTCCTGCTCCTTTTCCTCTTTCTCTCCCTTCAACTTTTATTTCATTCTCTTCGTCATTTTTCTCGTCGTAATTATTATTTCCTTAATTATCCTCCTCTTTACTTAATTTTCCTTCTTCCTATTCTTTTCCATGATTTTCTACCTCGTCTTCTTATCTCTACACCTTTTTGTTTTATCTTCTCTACTCACTTCACTCTTGTTTTCCTTCTCCCTCCTTTTGTCTTCACACACTTCCTTCCTCTTCTTCCTTTTTTCTTTTATCCTCTTCACCGCTGATCGGCTCGTTAGCCTCTTGGGCGATCGGTCACGTCTCTGTTACTCACTGTTGGCAAGTCCTCCTGTTGTCGCCACACCCTTTTTTCCCTCTTATTCAGTCTCCCTTTCCTCCACAAAGTCGAGGAGATAAGATAATATCACAACCTTGTCTTCGCTCGTGAGGTGAGTTGGAGGACTCGGGACTCAGGAGTATGTTGGTGTAAACAATGCGAGCTATGTTCTTTTTCACCTTCGTCTTGTAATTCATCCTCAATTGCGTTATATCCATATATATATTTTTTGTTTAATTATTTATGTTTTGATTTAGATATAGATAGATAAATAAGAAGATAGATATTATCAAGGAGTGTCCGATACCTATGGAGTCAGAAGGCACATCTACGTTTTTTTCATTCTCATTATTCTATCAACTGCCTTAAATCATAGTAGTGTCTAATTTATTTTATGTTTCCATCAAATATAGATCGCTAAATAGATAAACAAATAGTTGGATAGATATTTACAATGGAGTGTTGTGAATAGTTGTATTGTAATCTGTGGATCGTCCTTTTTCACCTTAACTGCGTAATGGTGTTTGTAAAGACTGTAACCAACATGATCAGTGTTTGTAACCCTCAGCTTTTATGACGTCAATGCCCCTGGGTACATGTCTTGATTGCTAGTGTGAGATAAAGGCATGAAAAAAAGAAAAAAAAGAATGCTATTGAAATTTCTGTCTGTATTTTTCATTTTTTTTTATTCTTGTGAGTGTCTGACTTCCATATTTACTTAAGTGACGTAGTGGAAGTGACCTCATCCCTCCCAAATTTTTTGATACTATACAGATCGATCAAGATGATAGATAGGCAAATGGTTCAATTAACTGAGAGGTAGCTAGGAACACGTGTACATACTATTTACCTATACTTGTACCTATACATGGATCAGTATGACCTTGTTTGACGATTTTACTGAATATCCATTTCTTTCTCGCATTATAATTCAAGTTAGAATTAACAGTATGAAAAACACTAAAATACAACGAAAAATATCAGTAAGTAGATGTTAAAATCCGTGATACTGTATTACTAGTAGTGTCCAGGGAATTTTGTCTATAGATGTACGATGTTAATTATATAGTTATATATTATATAACTAAGGTTACATAGGGAATGAAGAAGACACAGAAGATGAAGAAGTTCAAGAGGAAGAGAACTCACAAGATCAAAAGGTGTAGGAAGGTGAAAGTCAGAAAACAAAATAAGCAAGAAAATAAAAGTGCAGGCAACTGAGGGAAAAAGAAAATGGATCCATACAAAGCAACGAGGGGTAACCCAACTATTCAAAGTCAAACGGAAACAATGGAACAAAGGCGAGTGACTGAACAACCATGGGTCCTCTCCTTCAACTTCGCCACACACCTGACTACATGTGACCATCAGGCGTGAGCTTGTCAAGCTGGAGGCTCCCCATACACCTGTGCACGTTTGATTTATGTATCTTTACTCTGAGACGCTGGCAGTAACACGACCCACACGTGCAACACCTGTTGTGTGTGTGCAATAGTGAGGCGGGGATGTTGTCATCACACCAACCACGGTTGTGTCTCCCAAGTGACACGGGTCTACCTACCTGCACTCATGTGGAATTTGCAAGATGACTGCAGTTGCCTAAGTGTCATATGCACATTTTATATACCACTGCAATCTTCAAGTCATTACCAGAGATAGCTTGAGTGTGTTTGAATAACACTGTCTCTGCATGTTGGAGTGATATCTTCTATTATTTCCTCTCACCCTGTGCGTGTGTATGAATCTTATTCAGAATAAGATTGTCTCTGTATATTACTAATTTTTTCTATCATCATTCAGTTAAGTTATTCAGGAAAATTAAGAACCAAACAGAATGTGAAGAGCTGCAGAAATATCTGTCAGCTTCAAGAGTGGTCGAAAAAAAATGGCTGTTAACATTCAATGTCATTAACTGTAAGAGGATGCACATTGGTAGTACCAATAGTAAGGGGGCGTATAACATGTCCCAACGGGATGAAGAAATATCACTAATAGAGAACAAAAGTGTGTATATTGACAACAAATTGAAGTTCTTGGGCCATTGTGAGAAGAAGGTGAATCAAGCAACTAAACTAGTAGGTCTTATAAGAAGATCATTTGGATAATAAGACGGTCTATCCCTCATAACTCTATTCAAGAGTGAGGTGCTTCTCTGTCTGGTCCCTGAGATATGCAAGAGGTGGTCAGTTGATTGAAAATGTCCAAAGGAGGGCCACCAGACTGGTGCCTGCACATCACCTCAGTTATCGTGAGAGATTTGAATGCCTGCAACTGTCTAGCTTATACAGTACAGTACTATAGATGGGCAAGGGGTGACTTAATTGAAGTTTATAAACATCCCAGAGGACACTACTCAATCGAGTGTCCATACCTGGAGCTGGAATACGCCTGCCCCAAAATGGGTCACAGTTCAAGGTTGATGAGGCTACACGTCCAAATAATTTTGAGTGCAAACTTTTTTAGAGTGAGAGTAGTAAACTCTTGAAACAATCTGCCCGAGTGTTGTGATGGCTCAAAGTGCGAGCTCTTTCAAGACCAGACTTGACCAACACTGGTGCAGATACAGATATATTCAGGAGCCAGTACTTGCCAACGGTACATAACAGAGACGTGATCAACCGCCCAAGCAGCTAACAAGCCAACCAGTGGCGATGAGGATAAATAAAGCAATAAAATTAATAATAAAAAACATTATTAATGATAATTACTCTTTTCGTGACATAAAAAATACACTTAACATTCAGAAATAAATTATTTATTTTAAATAATTATACGTACAGTACTTCTAATTAAATTACAAAAGATTAAGGTTATAAAACCAAAATACGTACTGCACTATAAAATAAATTTCTTCAGCGATCTGTAGGAGTAAACATATGCATTACATACAAACAACAATAATACAGTTTTTCTAATGACATCCTCTAATCCTTACCTATTTACCATATATCATGTGAGGATTATGTACCATAACTTATTTCACCTGAAGATTAACCACTCAGGGTGACCAGTAATTCCCCTCCCCCTCCCATGCATTTCATTCTTGGTAAATTCACCTCGCTGCTTTGAAATTCCTGATGAATACAGATTCCTAGATACTGGAGAACTTTTCTTGCAGTTTGCTAGTGGTGAGTATGGTGTACACTCTATGTACTATTGATTACTGGTGTTTGCCCCCAAAAAATTATGAGAGAGGTCTGGATGACATAAAGCAGGTGATGGAACTTTTAAATGCTACCTTCAATATATTTTATCACTCATACACTCTTCATATTCAGGTCGGGTCATTCACTATTCCAAGATTATTTGTGCTTCTCCCAAACAAGACAACATAGATGTTCAGTCAACGCCTCACAAACCTAACAGAACTGTGTCCGGGATTGAACTTTGAATTTTGGACTTGGAATAAATATTATATCAACAGCTTCTTAACAACCTTTCCAACTGCTTGTGTTTCATCTTTCTCTGAATAATTATAAAAAAAATGTTCTTCAGTAGATGTGAAAGAAGGCAAGATAATTAAGATGAAGAATTACTCCAACATTTCCTATTGTTGCCATGTACCAACAATATGTACTGTATTTAATAATGCACTTCAAAGCTCAGTGACGTGCATGTATCCCAATGGAGAAAGAAGAATGTTTAGCAAAATCAAAGAAAGTTCAATTTAATCCAAATAATATGACCACCCACTTTTTTTACAAGAAACAGTTTAAGACTTGCTTCACTTTTTGATAATTTTTAATTAATATCACTTTTAACGTCGATAATTCTTTTTAATACCTTAAATAGTAATTCAGGAAGTGAATTTACCAGGAGTAAAAATACTGGGAATCAAATTACCAGAATCCCCCCCCCCCTACCAGATAGCCTTCAGGTAGTTTATCTCCCAGTGAATAAGCTGGGGTTCCCAATCCCCAGGTGATCCTTTACCACTACAGGTGTTTACTGAAGAATATATTGTTTACAGGACAACGAGATTGTCTAAAGATTTTTGTTTAATTTTTACTGTATAACATTTGGATAAGATAACTTCTTCACAATATAAAATGTGTGGCTTTCAGGTGATTCAGAGATCACATTACTACTGTACAGTACAGTATAAGCTTCCACACCATGATGCCAGTGTGTCACGTTCTGTTAAGTCTAAGACAAGGTTCATCCAGAAAAGATTTGTGGTGCCATAGTCCATCCACACAGGACTTTTGGCACCATGGTCCATTTAGACAGGACCTTTGGTGTCATGGTTCATCCAGACATGATTTTGGTCCCAGATTCATGAGTGCAACAAACATACAGCACAGTACCTGTACAATATCAACCCTAACATTCGTACCAAATTGTTCCAGTACAATCAATACGTCATCGGAAGAGATGAAAACAGAATTGTGATCAGCATAAATACACTTGAATTTTAATCGATGTCATGTACAAAATGAAGATTATGATAAGTGCTTCAAGACCCAAGACATTAACTTAAACCCTTCACAACAGGAACACCACTTTTAATAGTTTATTTGGCTAACATCAGATGATTTGACTCAGTGGAGAGGGGACCCCATACACAAGGGGTTAAATCACTGAAGCACATACCACTTAATGTATTACTGTATAACAAGGCAACTCACTCACCTTAATAAAATATACAGTACACTACTACCTGTACTTTAAATGCACTATGGTAGATAAAATGCAACAGGGTGATTATAGCTTAAAATTACACTTGAATAAAATCAATACAATACTGTACAGTACTTATATAATGACTCTAGGAAATAAAACCTGATGGTAAGATTAAGATAATGGTTAAAAAACGTGAAACTTAAAGGCAATGTTAATGCCGATAACTAGACAGAGATTTTAGAAAATAATGAAACTTGGTGATAAATTTAATTACAATACATATATAATGACTCTAAATGTGAATCTTAGTGGAAAAATACAATAATTCTAAAATATGAAACGTAGTGTAAAATCAAAATAAGAATGATTCTATATCATGCCAAATTGAACTGTACAGTACTGTAGTATTAGACATTGAAACTTGATGGCACAGTACACGGAAAGAAGCCAACTCACGGTGCAAATATTTCCTAGTTTACAAATGCCCTGAATTATCCCCTATTTAAGAATTTCAAGAGTTAATCATTTACTCCTTAGCTAATATACTGTTTCTCAATTTCCTGTGTAGCTAATTCTGAGGCTGTACAATTAATCACAGTTAATCCCATGTATACAGTATATTCATAAGAAACAATGCATACAGTATACAACATTATAATAGAAGAAAAAAAAGTGCTGTCAGAGGCTTTCAAGTACTAATATATATTTAAAATGTTAAAAATGTTCTGTATACTTTTCAGAAACTCTTGTCATAAATTATTTTGGAGTTATCAAATAATCTCTCTCTCTCTGTCTCTCTCATATAAAGGGTATTATTCAGTCAAGGGAAAGACTGAAAACGAAGATCAGTTTCTCCTTTGCTTTGGAGGGAAACATAAAGGTGGGGAAGAAATGACTGCACGACTCTTACACACACACACACGCTTGCACACACACACACGCTTGCACACACACACACACACACAGAGTAAGAGGCTCATACATACCAATAAGGAAACCAATTTGTCAACTCAGCCTTGCTCCAAGACCTTAGTCAAACTCTTGTAGACAGCAAAGGCATTACAGCTAATTCGTACTAAAATAAACAACATAAACACTCCATATTCTTTAACACATTTCTTATATACACAATTACAGTACATTTACTTTTCATTGCAATCCTATCAAAAACATTAAATGAACATTTGTTAGTGAAGATGACTCGGGTAGTACAAGTGGAAAGTATTATAGAATGATCTGAATCAGTTACTAAAGGTCTGGGAATACATCCAGAGGAGCGACAAGAGGCAATGGTAAAGTTACACATAAATGCAGACAAGTAAATGAGTTGAGAATACCATAAGTTGTGGATGGATTGATCTATTTTTGACATTTCTTAAAAACATGAAATTTGATGCACTTGTTAGAGGGTTGTTGTTGTTTTTAATTTCCCAAGTCATGATGTGTTGCTATATCTCTTCATTCACACCATTCTCTGCTACTATCAGAGCCTTCCATGTATCAGTTACCAGTTTGCATTCTATCTGTTTATATCATGAGCTATTGCTGCTCATATGCAACAATCACTGCCTAAGTTACTAAATATCTATCTGATACTGATCCAGTAATGTTCTTCATCACCACAGTATTAGTTCAGTCTTAATCATTCATGCTTCCACCGTACTTCAGGTAATATAGAGACCGTCTTCACCCGGGATTATTGTCTTCTCCGGGAGCCGATATATACATCACATACTGGTACTGGACTTCACCTTTGCCGTCTAATGTAACAGGAAATGGTTCTAGCTGTACTTCGTCTATTTTCTCAATCTGTTTATCTAGACTCGGATCGACCATTTCAGCCTCTGATCCCTTGACTATGTGTTGATCAATTTCCTGACTCATGTGTGTCTCTGTGTGGTGAACAATCTGTGTGTCCACCTCATTTGCTATGTTATGAATCTCTGTATCCATCTGTGTTACTATGGGATTATTCACCATCTGTTCATCCACTTCTGTCTCTATCTGGCTGATCATGGACGGAAGTGAGCACTGATCAGCAACCTCCAAGTGGCTTGAAGAATCCAGATGTGCTGGATCTTCAATATCAGTTGGCATGTGAAGATGGTCTGTTGGCTCCATGTGACTTGTTGGTTCGAGATGGTTTGAACTATCTAGATGTCTTGCCACAGCCATGTTGGTACCAGAGTCCAGGTGGGCAGCATCACTAATGTGGCTCGTTGCAGCCAAGTGACTTGTCGTGTTAATGTGTCCAGCAACTTCCAAATGGTTTCCTGGTTCGAGGTGGTGAGGAGATTCAAGCTGGCTCGGTACTTCTAAGTGGCTTTCAGAAGTGAGATGATTCCTTGCATCAAGATGGTCTGTATCCTCTAAATGGCATGAAGATTCCAAGTGATCTGCAGCTTCTAAGTGACAAGCTGTCTCCAAGTGACTGGTGGTCTCCAGTGTGTGACCTGCAGCTTCTAAATCACCACCAACTGCAAGGTGGTCTCCTGAAAGGTGCGTTTCAACTCCCAAGTGTGTAGTCATGTTATCCTCGTTGTTGAGCTGACCGTCATGGGAGAGGTGGTCTGCAGCATCAGCCAACATGGTGCTCTTTAAGTCCCCTAAAGTGTCACTCTGGGAAATTTCCATGTCCCCAAGAATCTGTACATTGATAAGAGAGACTCCGGGTGTCATTTCAATGTGGTCGTGAGAAGACTTCACCTCCAAGGTCTCAACTGTACCAAACTGCACAGGATCTACAGCCCTAAGGTCTTGTGAGGCATCAATAATACTCAGAGTTTTAACTTTCATGTCTTCGTCATTTGTATATGGATGTTTCTCTGGTAGCTTCTCACATGCAGACAAAGAGAAAGGCTGCAGACTACTGTTATCATAAGGTTCTGCAGTTATAAGGAGATCATTTAACACAATGGATGCCACATGTTCACTCTCTTGAATATGTTCATCTGATTCTGGATTTTTCTGCAGTACATCCTCTTCTACAACCAGTTTCTTCTCCTGCAGAAGTTGTGTGCTCTGCTTCCTCTTGCCCTTCCAGTTAACTTCCTTGCCGTGAGTTACGGACATGTGGGTCCGCAAATCATCATTACAGGAGAATCTTTCCCTACATAGCTGGCAAATGTAAACAGAGTGTTTCCAAAGGTGGAACATTAAAGATGATTTCTTCCTGAACTGTGCATCACAGTACTCACATGGGTGCTGCACCTTAAGGTGCTTCACATTCATATGATGACGATATGCTGTGTAAGTTGTGAATTTTGATTCACACTCATCACACGTCCATGACTGAGCACTTCTATGAACAGCATTAATATGGGTATTTAATTTGGAGATGGTGAAAAATTTGTCTCCACAAGTCTCACATACTATCTTCTTCTCTCCATGAGCATACAGAAGATGACTTCTGTATGGTACATGATAGTAAAACATTTTGTTACAGTGCTCACAAACATACTTAGTACCGACGTGATGCACGACGTTACGATGATAGCGCAGGCCAGCCTTGGTGCCGAAGCACTTCCCACAATCTTGGCAAGCAACCTCCTTATTCTTCTCCTCCCCTATACCATGAAATTTAAAGAGATGAGCTTTCAGCCTCGCCTTAGTAGTTAGATAACGACCACACTCTGAGCACTCAGAACCTTTCTGGTGAGCAGATGCATGAGCCAGGAGAGTCTGTTTACAGTAGAATGTCTTGTCACAATCTTCACAAGAATGAATGCCTACCTTGTGTTTCTTCCTCATTCTCGATGTCGCTTGTCGGGTTTTATTTTGTGTTGGCAAATCCTCCATATCTGAATGTTTGGATAAATGGTGAACCCATAATGCAAGACTGGAATAAACCTCTTTACACTGAGGACAACGGTATTTCTTTGATGACGCTTGCCTTCGAGAACTCTTCCTTACTTTTTCTGATAGTTGTTCACCTGTACAGTTGTCAGTTTTATCATCCATGTCATCAATGTGGCTTGTGGGTAGCACTAAACTTCTACTGCAATTTATTTCTTCTGGGAAAACATCTGAAGGTTTACAAGTAGCTGCCATTACCTTTGACCTCTCTTTGTGTTCCTTGAGAGTTGTCTCAAACATATCTTTTATAACTTGCTTCTTAAATTTCAGATTTTCTTCAATTTGTGCAACTTCCTGAACAAGATTCTCACACCTAGAACAAATCTTCATGCTGACACACACAACCTCTCGTTTCGATCTGCCCACAATTTTTGACAAAAGCAAATTTATGGAAATATTACCAGAATACTCGTGAACACGTAAAATGCAAATCAAGTTACAATCCGTGTCGTCTTTTCCACAAACAAGACACACATCTTTTTCTGGAGTTTCCTTATTGTTAAATATAAATGCATGACTGTTGATGCTTTTCTCCGACTCAACATAAGAACTTTCACTTGGTAAATAATCATCAATATTAATACCCAGACAACTTTCAGAGGCTCTGGGTTGGTTACCGTCAACCTGCCAGTTATCCTCTTTCTTTATATCAACAGACATCTGGCTTAGAGCAGCATCCCTAAAGGCATCTTCATCGGCATCGATCAGAAAAGTCGCCCTCGTCTTGTCACTTTCAATAACAGAGAAGGGAACTGGGAGGTTATTTTTGGCATCAACGACACTCCCATTACTGCCGAGGTTTGTTGCCACCAGAGGAACAGCTTTCCGGTGAAGGCTCGACTTCTTGCCCTTCTTTATATCTTGAGGTTGGAAATGCCTCTCACAGACTCCGTTACGAGCACCAAGTAACTGGGGGGAAAGAATGTGGCTAGTTATAATTTATATTCTATTCAACCATTACAGTACAGTACCATCTCTTCATATTAATATCACTGTAGTCAACAATGATTCTCAACATAGTATCCATCACTACATACACTATTTATTAATATTTCATAATAATGATGGTAGGAATCAACAGGAAATGAGTTATAATTTCATAATCAAGCATAAACACTGAATGCAAAAGGAAGGATTGAGAGGTGAAGGAAATAAAGAGCTTGAGAGTAACCTGTGATGTGTTGAGTGGAGAGAATATAGACAGTATGAAACACAGAAATAAGGCAAAATAAAACGAGGTTATGCCTCACATAGATCAATTACACTACTGGGAACACATTGATCAGTGGACTTAACACCAAGGGTTAAATACTGTTTCTGCCAAGGCTTTCAGACACCATCTCAACACTCAATGGTCTTCTTCCTCACATACAGTACCTGAGGGTCACAGAAGGTGGGGATAATTTGGCGAATGGCAGCCACCCAGGCACCTCGCTGGTAACTGGACTTTGGAAATGCGAACACAGAGAGACTGATGCTGTGAGGAGCCCCACACAACACACACTTCCGTGCCATAATGATCCTGAAACACGTAACCACTATACAGTTCACAGTACTTCTCTCAACACAAAATACATACTGATAAATAACATATCAGAATAGAAATTACATGCACTTAAATAAACCATAGCAACTCATCAGTGTCTGCCATTTTTAAAAAGCCATCCAAACATGCAGCTATTCTCCTAAGCCCTACTAAGCCAGGGAAGATTCAGCTTGTTTTTGTTTTTCTTTCTTTCTAAACAATAATGATTTCTCTGGCTCTTGATAAATGTTAAAAACTGGGTTGCCATTTTAATTCCAAGAATCTGAATGCATAAGATGTATACAGTATATGGTTAGGTATGTGAAAAATGAAAATGAACTAAAAGGTAATGGTGGTAAGTCATTTATCATATCAGACAATGTACCACCAAGTCATCAAGTTTAATCTCCTAATGATATTCATGTAAGCTTGATTAAGCTCGGTAACTCTGCCATCATAAATTACAACCTCTGTATCTGCTGTTGTTGGCTAGAAAATAACCCTTCCTATGGAGATATAAAACTATGATTTTAGTTTCAGTCATCCTAGGAATCTTGGGAAATTAGGTTCGGTTAGGTTAGGATATCCAAATTCAGGGATGAATGTATAATTTTACCTACAGCCCCTGTATATAAATATAAAATCAGTTTTTTTCATGTTAGAGAATTACTTGCAAAAAAAATGGCAAGTCTCCTCCTAATATTTCCCATTTTTCAGCACTTATTCTCTCTACCAGTTTCAGGTAACCAGCTAGTAATATTATAGTACATATTTACAGGAAGGGAAAAAAGGTAAAACTTGATGACTTGTTCTGTGCTCTTAGTAAGTAGCTACCTGAGGATTTTTTCCTATAAGATAAAAGATTTCAAACCTTGTACATGAAGAATATGAATTGCGTAATATAACTTTAGTTAATATTGACGACACCCGCCAAAGCATTATTTGTTCTGGTTTATTTTATTACAACATTTTTATCAGTAAAAATCGGCCACGGGTCAGTCGTCAATAATAACTTGTATTCTTTTCATGTACTTATTATCATTTCCACAAGATATGAATGATTCTTACCCTCAATAGAGCTATACCTAACTAACTTTATCCTAACTCCTGGATAAACACCAATATCCATTAAATTAACATCAACATAAGTTAAAACAATACCTACAAATAATTCGAATCTAAAACATTAACTTAGAGCTTCCATTATCTCACATAAAGGAAGACTAAGATAAAAAGTACTTCCTCGTCACTATCCAGCACCACAGGACACCATCACCATTTATAATTTATATCTTTTAATCGTGTTTTTTCTCACTTACATACAATATAGAGGTTACTTATCTCATGTATACTGTATTATCATTTAAATTCCATGCACCACAATCACAAGACAAACTTACGACTGGAAATATTTGATGAAAGAGTTTTTATTGTTTAGACTCCATCAGCTGTCTCACTCACCACCTCAAACACCTCTAGCAAACAGCTTTCTCACCAGTAACTTCATAAATAATCTCTCTTTTGGTATTAATTTGACATCAAACTATAGATATAATATTTTTAATCTTATTTAATAGATTAATATATATTTTATATCTCTATAGTGAATATTTAAGCATGACTGGAAGCAGGACGTTAAGGAGATCTGAAACAATGCTGCTGTTTGAGGTTTCTTTTTCATCTAAATAATATTACTTCAGTTTTCCCAAGATATAAGGATATTTTTTATGTTTATTAGTCTTTGTTTTAATGACTCCTGTTTAAATAATAATTCGGGATAATATTTGTGAAATTTAAATAGCCCGCGCTTCACTTATATGACGTCATAGGTGAACTACTCTCTGATTGGTCGTTGACATCCAGGTTTTCAAACATGGCGGATATCCCTTAGTGATGAAAGGCCTTTTCCTTTGGCCAATATAAGTGAAAATGTCCAGTTCTGAAGTACAAACCGGGAATTCTTCACAACAGATAAATGAAGGTAATATTATAGCACATTCAGGTTACTCTACGGATATCATATATGATAAAATAATAATGAATCATAATCGTTCCAATCATACTTCTCAATCCAGTTTACTTCTTTTAGTTGTTGATGAAGTATAAACAAGTTGTGAAAAGCAGACAACACAGCTGGTGATGGTGGGTCCTCCCGTCACCTTCCTCCTGTCACCTTCCCTCACACATAATAAACAATGGCTTTTAAATCCTCCCCAACATTATAGAGACCTTTAAATCTTAATGACTCTTGAGTGTTGATAACCTTCCCCATTTTTATCCTATTGTTGCCTGGTGGTATTATTAAGTTTATTTATCTTTACTAAGGTAGTTAATAATGGTGAATAGATATGCAGATTAGTAAATTATTTCTATTTTGGTCTATTACTCTAGAAAACTATGTCAAATTAATATATGTTGGTTGCATTAATGTCTCTCTGTGCTACTAACCAAACTACATTGATAATAAGTTTTTTTTAATACTTAGGTAAACAGTACATATATATTAAACTTTATCTTATTGAATTAATATTAAAATTGGGTTGGCTTGGTTTAGGTTAGATAAGTTGGTTAGGTTAAGTAGGTTTGGCCAGGGTAGGTTTGGTTAGATTAGGTATAATTGGTTTTGGTTAGATTTTGAATGTTTTCTAACCAAACCAGACCCACCCTATCCTACCCTAACCTACCTTACCCTATCCTACCCTAACCTACCTTATCCTACCCTACCTCACCCTACCTTACCCTACCCTACCTTACCCTACCCCACCCTATCCTACCCTAACCTACCTTACCCTACCCTACCTAACCCTACCTTACCCTACCCTACCTCACCCTATCCTACCCTAACCTACCCTACCCTACCCTACCCTACCCTACCCTACCCTACCCTAATACAGTAATAATTTTGTACCAGAAACGATCCACAACATTGGAAATCTTTTAGAACGATTTCATTTTCTCCGTCACCTTGAATACTTTTCTTATTTGTCGGGTCACCAGTATGGCTTTTGCCAGGCGAGATCTACTGGTGATCTGCTCTCCTACTGCACCCATCTTTGGTCATCCTCTCTTAGGGATTATGGGGAAACTTTCGTCGTGGCCCTCGACATCTTGCACATGTCTTTGCTTTCTAAACTTCCCTCTTATGGTTTCTCTCCCCCACTTTGTTCTCTATTCTAGCTTCCTTGAGAACCGATCCATGGCATTTGTTGTCGAGGGATTGATCTCTCGCTCTTTCTCTACCAATAGTGGTGTCCCACAGGGTTCTATTCTTTCACCTACTCTCTTCCTTCTTTTTATCAATGATTTACTTCACACTACGACTAATTCTATCCATTCTTACGCTGATGATTCTACTCTTCACTCTTCACATTTTTCCCTTCCCCCTAATTCTCAAGCTAGATCTGTTTCTAGAGCTGATATCATTTCATGTACCAATGCGGATCTGTGCAGCATCTCCGAATGGGGAGGTAGAATACTCAGTATTTACCAATTACACTTTCCAAAAATTAAATGATCTCTCACCAATCACATTTCAGGATGCAGTTATTGTGTCAAGTTCTAAAATAGATATGCTAGGCCTCACCATTTCCTTTAGTATGTCATGGAAGCCACACATCCACAAAATTGCTAAAGCTGCCTCCCAAAAGTTGAGAATGCTGTACAGATGCCGTAGCTACTTCACTCCTGAGCTTCAAGTATATAAGGGATTCATTCGTCCTAAATCTGGGGTGGCTCTTCTTCTGTCCAACTGTTAGATAGGGTGGAATCAAAGGCATTTTGTCTTATTGATTCTCCTCCTTTAGTTGATAATCTTTCTTCCCTTTCTCTTCGCCGCAATGCTGCTTCACTCTCTCTCTCTTACAGGTACTTTAACGGGCAATGTTCAGTGGATTTGGCATCCTGTGTACCGCCGGCAAGGCCGTGGGCTCGTAACACTCATCTTGCCCGCGGTGCCAACCGTTTCTCTGTGGATGTCGGTTACACTAGAATAACCCGTTATAATACATCCTTCTTTCCTCACACAGCCAAACTGTGGAATGCTCTGCTTTCTTCTGTGTTTCCATACTCATACAATCTGTCTCACTTTAAAAAGCTAGTTTTCTGGCATCTTCGTGGTGTAGATTAATATACAGTAATCTTTTTCATTTCTATTTTTAATTTCTTTTTACTGTACTCTTATTTTTTCGCCTCCAAGGCCCCGTCGTGGGTTGATGACCTGTGCCCGGGTGGGCTATTCCCCGTAAAAAAAAAATGTTTCCTAATTATCTACAACATTCTGTAATCAAATAGGGAAAAAGTAAAACTGTTTCCACTGATTTGAATATAATGCAAAGGTGCCAACTCCACTGAGCCTTCTTGAGGAATAGGTAATGCCATGAGGGTCAGTGCCCCCATAATATGAGTAAGTGTAATGTTGCAAAAATATGTATTGACACCAGCCTAAATGACCTGGGAGACCAACATTATATACAAGTTAATATATTTTCAGAACTAGATTCGAAAACAATTCAAATATTTCCCTTCTGTAGGAGAGAAATGCCTTCCATAACTTAAACACATTCTCTCTGATAAATAAGTCTGGTATCAACATTACTGCAGGACACTCAGGGTATTTGTCTTCTGTTCTTGCATTATAGAATACAGTTTTCAGGCCACGAGCTATAGAAATAAACATTATCTCTCTGTTTAAAGGATAATAACTGAAGGACTAGAACAGCTACACTGATTTTTTAAAATGCCTCATACAGAGTCAACAAGTCACTCACCTTAAAGACTGGAAAGAACCAATTACTCTATGTTTACCTGTAAATTCTTTGAACATACACACACAAAAAAGCCATCTGTCCCTTTTCTAGTTGATAAATATGATGCAATGGATGAACACTTGGGGTCACTATTTGTGAATAATTGGCAATCAAACGGAAACTGCTGTACATTGTATTCATTCCCAAACACAAGGCCCTAGGTGGGCAGATATTTGTGTGTGTACAAGTCTTATTGACTTACATTTTTTTCTCGCATATGTCATTAACTTATCTGTCCCTACAGTATGCATCTTTAAGTGTTAACTTCATTGCATTCAGAAAATAGGTACTATACAGTGTTGCAACAATACTGTGCTGTACAGTACTTCATGATCTATCTGTTGACACTGTTTACTCAGTGTACAGTGACAATCTACTCGTTCACCAAACTAAGTAAGACAATCTTACTTTAGTCATGATCCAATTTAAATAATTTCATAAAGTTTGTAA